ATGCTCGTAGCCGCCACCATCTCCTGTGGCAGTGAATTCCATGTGTTAATCCCTCTTTGGGTGAAGAACTACTTCCTTTTTATCCATTCTAATCCAACTGCTCAGCAATTTCATTGTGCCCACGAGTTCTTGTTTTGTGAGAAAGGGAGAAAAGTACTTCTTTCTCTACCTGCTCTATTTCATGCATATTCTTATAAACCTCGATCATGTCACCACTCAGTCCTTGTTTCTCCAAGCTAAAGAGCCCCAAGTGCTTCAACCTTTCTTCGTAGAGAAAGTGTTCCAAGGCTGCGCATATCAATGGCCCCTAGACTAGCAAGGACTCATGGTCTGAATTCTGCTTCCTTCTTCACTCTAGAAGTATTGTAGGACAGGCAGCATGAGAAAATTCTCCATTGGCACTTTTTACATCTTTTAGGTGTGATTGACAGGTGGCCCAAGGGTCCCCCCCCAAATTGTGGAACTAGCAGTGGCAATAAGGAAATAGTAAAACTCTTCTCCCCATTCAGGCAAACTGTACATGCAACTAATTGTGCTACATTGGCCACAGTAACTTGGTAAAGGGTGGTTACATGCCTTTATCCTGAAGTTCATAGGTGCCAGAGAATGATGATGGATTCCAGCTTTCAGAGTCCTCTCCATCAAAAGTTCCCTGATAATGGAAAAAGTACCACAGCAAACAGAAGGAAAGCAGAACCTTTCTTCCTGTTGTGCTAATGTTCTGTTGGTTCAGAGCTTCTTATGCAAAAGAATCTACCACCTGTAATCCATCCTACCACCTCACACAAAGGAGAATTAAGAACCAGGCACATCTGAAGTGCAAAAATTCAGCTTCGCTTCACCCTACAACAAAACATTTGGACTTTGATGGGTGATGAATGCTTTGTAACAATGACCTCTTTATTTCTCTAGTGATTTCTCATCCGTGTTGGCCTTCTCTTCCCGGAACAGCCTAAAAGCAGATGTTACAGTGCCATCGCCACATTGTTGTGAAAAGCACAGGAAAGACATCCAGATAAAACCACACAGTCCAGTGTATGCAGTCCTCAGGTACACCGGGACCAGGCTGAAGTTGGACAGCTGTTTGGGAAGAAAGCAATGTTAACAAACCAGGGAAATGCCCTGTAATTTTTGCTTTCATCTGGCATGTTTTTAAGCCCACCCTCTATTCAGGGTGGCTCACAACAACCACTAGTCTCAGCTTTTGTACGAAGCTTGCACTCTTAAGTATCTCCAGCATAGAGCATGTAAACTTTTATTCAGACAGGGATATAAATCTAACCCAGTGCAAGACCTGGACAGTATCCCCTTGTGTCTTGCCCTTTTCCGAAGCTCTACACACACGGGGTGGACAGATACGCAGGCGCTGGTTAGTCTATGTCCAAAACAGTTCAGTGGCACCTTTAAGACCAAGGTTTATTCAGGTACAAGCTCTCCCTCCTCTGTGAGGACAGATCTGCACGTCCCCCCCCTCCAATAGCTAGCAATCGAATACAGTCCAGTGGAGCCTGAGCGGTGGGTGTTGCCTTCTGACACACTTCCGGTGATGTCAGGGGGTGTGGCATATGCAAATGAGCTCCTGCACCTCTTTTTCTACGAAATTACCCCTGCTCTTAAGTATCTCCAGCATAGAGCGTGTAAGCTTTTATTCAGACAGGGATATAAATCTAACCCAGTGCAAGACCTGGACAGTATCCCCTTGTGTCTTGCCCTTTTCCGAAGCTCTACACACACACGGGGTGGACAGATACGCAGGCGCTGGCTAGTCTATGTATCAAGGCTCTCCTATTAATCCTTTATTCAAATGAATCATGTGGTTTGTAATTTCTTTAGCCAGAGTTTCCAGGACAGAAAGAACACCAATGTGAAACTCACTTGCACAAAAGGCCAGTACATCAGCCCAGTCTGGAAAAAAAAAGAGAACAGTGATAATGTTATCATTGTTAACCGTATAGAAAGTAGAGGAAGAATGCTTGAATAACTATAAAATAGGGCCTAGTGTGAAGACAGTGGTCAGAGTGAAGTTTTCCCTCTGTTTCTTCTAACAGTCAGCGTCACTGAAACTAGTTTGCTTGGCAATGAGTTAAAGAAAAATGGAAACACAGTGAATAGTTTATTTAAATCCAGTGGGGGAACAGGTGATGATGTTAAAACAGAAATATGATAGAAATCCTTGCAGGACTGTTCAGCCGCTCTGGGGAAATAGACCTCTGAATAGCAGGTTTACTTGGGGTATATACAATGGGAATGTTGTTGTCTTTGTACCCCATTGATGGGCTTCCCAGAGATATTGGGTTGACAAGAGAAACATCCGATCCTGATTCTGAATCAACAAAGCTCTTTTTAGATTCTCAGCTCTCCTTGTATTTTTAAAATTCTTAATGAAATGAAAGTACCCCCAGTAAGCCAATTTTTTTAAAAAGTGCATCAGTATTGGCACCAGCTGTTCAGAAAGGAGAGGTGTTGCAGACACAGAATCCCTCCATAAACACTAAAGACGGGGTGAGGGAAATTCAGTTTCAACTGCAGTTCATAGGGTAGTACAGGCTGTTTTCCACAGCCTGTACTGTGGAAGGCCAGTAGTTCAGCAGTTCGAGACCTGAGTGTGCCGCATGACGGAGTGAGCTCCCGTCTCCAGTTCCAGCTCCTGCCAACCTAGCAGTTCGAAAGCAAGAAATTGCAAGTAGATAAATAGGTACCACTTTGGTGGGAAGAAGGTCACAGCGCTCCGTGCGCCTTGGTGTTTAGTCACGCCCCGGCCACATGACCATGGAAACGTCTTCGGACAGCGCTGGCTCTTCGGCTTTGAAACGGAGATGAGCACTGCAACCCTAGAGTCGGATTCAACTGGCTTTCGAGCAAGGGAACCTTTACCTTTTACAGGCTGTTTTGCCTCTTCAAGTTGCTGCTTTAAGAACTGTTGAGTGATATTATGCTGCCTAGTTTTAAATACAAGATCAGCACAGTAGACCATGAAGATTATGTGACACTTGAGATATTATTACGTTTTCCCAGGTGGGCAAGCAAAGGCTTCAAGAAGGAAGGAATGTTTTATTTGGCTATGGATGAGAAATAACTCTGAAAGAGGTCTTAATTTCACACCCGCAAGGCTTCTTCTCCTTCAAAAGGCACGTTTCTCAGAGCTGAGTGTTGCCTAAACATACCCATAGTGGTGATGGAGGTCAGCTGAAGGATGTTGAAATGCATTTGCAAACATACAAAATATATATTTTTTTAAAAGAAACCTTTCTCAGAAAAAAGGGAAAAATTCACAATATTAAGGGATATGCCGGGCTTGTAGCTTCGCAGAAAGAGTCCTAGCATACTCTTTTATAGGTGGCACAAAAGATTGTTTGAGAGGTACGTGGTACCGTACAAGTTGCCCAAACATGACTGTCTCCAGACAAAGCTAGCCATGATGATGGGAGAGCCGTGAACTGAATTCTCACTGTGTTTTGCGTTCTTTTTTAAAAAGGTAAATAGCAGCACAGGGGGAAGGGACAATCTGGACTGAGGCCGTGTTGGAGAGGGAAGGGTCTCAATTGCCTCACCATCCCACTGGGGAATGGGTACAGGCGCCCATCTGGACACTATGTGTTTTCTCCAAGGAGGCAAAGAGCACACCTTGGGGGAAATAGAGTTTATTTGGGGGTTAAAATACGGGACAAATGGTTGCTCCTCCTCTTCCCCTGCCTGTTAGCCTACAGATTCCCCCACCCCATAGTGGCTATTTTTTATTTGTTATCCATTCACGGGTTTCTTATTGTTGCAGCTCCTCCTTCCCTATAAGCCCTGCCAGGCTTTAATATCTGTTAATGAAGCTGTTGTCATTCGGTTGTACTCCTCAAGGGGCTCCAGGACTAGAACTTTGGAGGGCATACAATTTTTACAGGAGAATAAAGATATATTTTCAATCCATATATCTAATTCTCAACAGTTCCCTCCGCAAACAGAGGGCACACTCTCCCCCAACAGGTTTTTTTACAGACTCGGGGGATTCCATGGGTCTACAGAAAAATCCAAAAAGTTAAAAACAAACAAACAAAACCCCCCAGGGAGGACTGAATCCCCCCCCAAAAAAAAACCCTTTTGAAATGGCCGCCACAAGGATCTACTCCAGGCCTTGTCACATTGACAGCGAGAGAAAGACTGGCTGATAGCCAGAGAGAGAGAGAGAGACAGAGACGAAGAGGGCAGGAAGCAAAAGCAGAACTGGAGCTGGGATTGGGGAGGATTCCTCCTGCAGTATGAATAGCTAAATGGCAGGGGGACGTTTTTAAAGCACATCTGAGCTTGTTGCCCCTACCTCTTTTGCTGCAGGCTCCACTACTCTCTTAAAAATTTCAGCAGGGGGGAAGCTTCTAACTGGTTCTATCAGTAAAAGGCAGTGGAAGGGGGCAGGGCCCTTTCCAGGCATATTCTGGCCTTTCAGGGAGGGATCCTTAGGGCCAGGCTTGACAAGGGCTGCCAGTGCCAGGCTGGGAAATTTCTAGAGATTTTGTGGTGGACTCTAAGGAGGGCTGGGTCTGGGGAAGGGAGAGAGAGGATGTACTATGTACAATGACAATAAAGTATACTACTACTACTACTAATGCCACAGAGTCCAGCTTCCACAGCAGCCATTTTCTCCAGGGAGACAGATCTCTACTGTCTAGAGTTCAGTTGTAATTCTGGGGGATCTCCAGGTTCCACCTGGCAGCACCCTCTGGGTGACTTGATACCACCTGACTTGCATGTTCCTAGGCCTGGCTGCTTGCTACTGTTCAACAGCAGCAACCCTATGAAAGCCAGTGTGGTGCAGCAGTTAGAGCTTCAAAACAGGATCTGCAAAACCCAGGTTCAGATCCCCATCTTGCGGTGGAAGCTGACTGGGTGATTTTGGACCAGTCACAGACATTCAGCCCAACCAACTTCACATGGTTATTGTGCAGATAAAAATGAGGAGAGAATAAAGTAAGCTGCTTTGGTCCCCACTGTGAAGAAAAACTGTAATTTTCCTAGGGAGAAGCTGATGATGGAGATGGAAAGCTAAAGACAGAAAGGCAGATAAAGGTAGGTTGGCTGTTGGGGGGAAGGAAATAGAGTTGCCAACTCCAGGTTAGGAAATTCCTGGACATTTGAGGGGTGGAGCCTGGGGAGGATGGGATTTGAGCAGTGGAGGATCTTCAGACCAGTATGCCATAGACTCCACCCTCTAAGCCATTTCCTCCACAAGAACTACGTGGAGCTCCACGAGGAGCGCAGACTCCAATCTGGGAGAACAGGGTTTGATTCCCCACTCCTCCACATGCAGCTGCTGGTGTGACCTTGGGTCAGTTACAAGTTATTTCAGAGCTCTTCTCTCAAGAGCAGTCCTCAAAAGAGCTCTCTCAGCCCCACCTACCTCACAGGGTGCTCGTTGTGGGGAGGGGTAGGGAAATGAGATAGGGTGTCTGTTGTGGGGAGGGGAAGGGAAAGGAGATTGTAAGCCGCTCTGAGACTCCTTTGCGTAGTAAAGGACAGAGTATAAATCCAATCTCCTCTTCTTCTTCTTCACTGCCAGCCTCCAGGTGAGGGCTAAAGTTCACCCAGAATTACAAGTGCTGTCCAGGTGAGAGAGATCAGTTCCCCTGGATAAAATGGCTGTTTTGGAGGGTTGAGTCTGTGGCATCATACCCTGCTGAGGCTGCTTGCCACCCCCCCAAGCCTCACTGTCCCAAGGCTCCACCCCCAAATCTCCAGGAATTTCCCAGCCTGGAGTTGGCAGCCCTAAGGTGAACTGATCTCTGTAGCTGGGAGATCCGTTTTGATTCCCAGGGCACTGCCACTGCTGCAGGTGGGTGGCTGGGAGCACCACCACCACAGCTGCTGCTGCTGTGCGGGGTGGGGGAGGAAGCAGGCAGGAGGCTAGGAGAGTGATGGGGGCAGAAAGAGAGAGGAAGTAACACGCATGGAGGAGAGATAAGGGAGGCAGAGTGTGAGAGAGGTAGAGGGAGGGAGGAAGCAAAGGTGTGAGGAAGGGGATAATCACACCGCAGGTTTCTTGCGGGTCCCCACTTGTGTCTAATTTTCAGGTAGTAAAATTGGCGATATATTTTTTTTAATCTAGTATGAGCCAGTACAAGGTAGTGGTAGTTTGAGGTAGTGAGTAGAATACTGTCCTAGACTAAGGTTCAGATCCTCACTGGCTGGGTGATCAAATCTCAACCGAATCTACATCACAGGGCTTTTGTACGTGACATATAGGCAGATAGGGGAACCCTGAACCCCTCGGAGGATGCAAATGTGAGAAACAGATTTACACTACTGCAGGACAGAGGACAGACTGAAGGATATTGGGGTCCCAGATGATTCTATAATTAAATAATGAAAGTACATAAATACACCGACTCACCTTATACACACAAACAATTCCTTTAATGGCATTTCACAAGAGTAGAAACTCACCTTATACGTATTCCAAAATTTCTGTCTGCAGTCTAAGAAAATATCTTCTCTCCCTTGAAGTATACTCATGCCTAGTGACAATTTTTAGCAAAGTCAGAATACTCGGCACATTTATCTGAAATTTCATTTTTCATTTACTTTTAACATGCAGAGACATTGCAACAAGTCTTTCTTAAGACAGAGGTCTGAGGTTAAAACAAAGACAGATGGAACTGTTGATCCAGTGATGCAAGGCACAATAAGCCACCCATTTATACCCCACCTCTTTCTTCACTGCGGACACTAAGTGGCTTACACCGTTCTTCCCTCCTCCATTTTATACTCACAACAACCCTGTGAAGTAGATTTGGCTGTGAGCATGTGACTGAACCAAGGTCACCCAGCACACTGCCATGGCAGAGTGGGTATTCGAACGTGGGTCTCCAGGTACTAGCATGACACTAAGCCCTGCACCATGCTAGCCCTCTACCAAACTATACAGGCCAATCTGTACACAGTAGACACTGTCCACTTTATATCTCCTTCTCTGCCTGTGGTGGTTTCCACACATGAACCAATTGCCTTTGCAATTTCCCTGTGGTTGGTGCAGCTACAGGTAAAGCACAGTGGAAAATGGGGTGTCTGCGGGGGGGGGGGAATTAAAATCGGCACTAGAACATCATTATATCATTGTAAGTACAGGCACAACAGGCTCTGTGAATTCCTAGCTTACATTTTTTTAAATGACTCTGCAAAGCAGACACTAGAGGCTTCCTTTTCAAAAGGAAAGATGAGAATTCAGAGAACCTGTTACACCTATTGTTGCAATGGTAGATTGATTTGATATTCTAATGCCAGTTTTTTTTAAAGCCCCCCTGTGGCTGGGAGGGGAGGAAAAGGCTGCCATGGGGTGGGAAGATCCAAACATACCCAGACACACAGCTGCCATCCAAGCTTTACTGCAATCTGAGAAAGATCAGAGAAAAGTTGGGCAAAGCACCATAAGTACAGAGAATCATAGAATCCTAGAGTTGGAAGGGACCTCCATCCTAGAGTTGGAAGGGGTCATCTAGTCCAACCCCCTGCATAAGGCAGGACATTCACAAATACCTCCCCCTCCACACCCACAGTGACTGCTGTTCCACACCCAGAAGACCGCTCTGTCAGGAAGTTCTTCCTAATGTTTAGCCGAAAACTCTTCTGATTTAATTTCAACCAGTTGGTTCTGGTCTGACCTTCTGGGGCAACAGAAAACAACTCCACACCATCCTCTAGATGGCAGCCTTTCAAGTACTTGAAGATGGTGATCGTAACACCTCCCAGTCGTCTCCTCTACAGGCTAAACATACCCAGCTCCTTCTACCTTTCCTCATAGGACTTGGTCTCCAGACCCCTCATCATCTTTGTTGCTCTCCTCTGGACACGTCCCAGCTTGTCTATATCCTTCTTAAATTGTGGTGCCCAAAACTTAACACAAGGTCTGAGCAGTGCAAAGTGGCACCATCACATCTCGTGATCTGGACACTATACTTCTGTTGATACAGCCCAAAATTGCATTTGCCTTTTTAGCAACCACATCACACTGCTGTCTCGTGTTCAGTGTATGGTCTACGAAGACCCCTAAGATCCTTTTCACACCTACTACTGCTTTCCTGAAGTCCAACCTATATGTTTTACTATGTACAGCTTTTACCTTCCCCAAGACTGTAAATTCCAAAATTACATGGTCACTATTACCCAGGGTGCCCACTACTTTCACCTCATCATAAGAACATAAGAGATGCCAATGTTGGATCAGGCTAAAGGCCCATCCAGTCCAACACTCTGTGTTACACAGTGGCCAGAAATACCAGGTGCCATCAGGAGGTCCACCAGTGGGGCCAGGACACTAGGAGCCCTCCCACTGTTGATCCCCCCAAGCACCTAGAATACAGAGCATCACTTGCCCCAGAGTCCCTATCTATACCTTGTGGCTAATAGCCACTGATGGACCTCTACTCCATATGCTTATCTAATTCCCTCTTGAAGCCGTCCATGCTTGTAGCCGCCACCACTTCCTGTGGCAGTGAATTCCAAGTGTTAATCACTCTTTGGGTGAAGGAGTACTTCCTCTTATCCGTTCTAACCCGACCGCTCAGCAATTTCATGGAGTGCCCACGAGTTCTTGTATTGTGAGAAAGGGAGAAAAGTACCTCTTTCTCTACCTGCTCTTTCCCATGCATAATCCTATAAACCAGTCGATCAGTTCTTCCCTGTTGGTAAGTATCAAGTCCAAGATAGCAGACCCCCTTGTTTCCCTCTCCACTTTCTGGAAAATGAAGTTCTCCGCAAGACAAGCCAGGAAGTTATTGGATCTTTCATTCTTGAATGTATTACAGTGCTGTGGAGTAGCGGGGTGGGGGACTTCCTAACTGCATTTAACCTGGGGCAGATTACCGGTGCAGAAAGGGCCTGCACTGGTGATGCAACTAGATTTTTTAGTGCGATGGTGTATGAACCAAAGCTTTCCTAAAGCTGTAACAATACAGGAGATTTTGTAGGAGAGAAGGGTGTTTTGGTATATATATCAGAGTAAAAGATTTGGGGGTGGTATTTCCCCATAGAGAGCATACACCATCAGTTCCCTTTAAAGAACAGGTTGGAAAGAGAGAGAAATCCAGTTACTACATAATTGCTACTTAAAATGATCTCCGGCCCCGGTCACACGGGCCGGATATCGTGGGGGGGGGGGAGGCGTGGCTAATTGCCCCGGCGCAGTTTGATCCACGATTACACGATCAGACGCGCCGGCGGCACACCACGGGTCCTTCCCTCAACGCCAGCGGGTAAACGAGGGACCGGAGGGGAATGCCGTGCGCCGGCGCGATCACACGGGAGTCTGGAGGCAACCCGTGGCAAACGTTTACTAGTACCTTGGAGGTACTAGTTTTTTAACTCGCATTGTCAGCGGTAAGCCACAGGTGCGCTCCACTTCCCAGATGTTGGGGTGTGATCGCACCCGGATATTCCGCCCACCATCCGTGCCTCTCCGGCGGCAACTTTGCCGTGTGACCGGGGCCTCCTTTTAGCAAATTTGGGGAAATGGTCCGAAGTGGGCCCTGGTCACACTATGTGCCAGGTGCAACGGGAAAGAACATCTGATGCTTTTATGCATTTGGTGGGTATCTGCCTCCCATTCACGGCCCAATATAAATGAAGAAAATCAATCAATAAATCCATTGGGGGGTGTGTGTCCGCAATCAGCTTCCCCCCGTGTACTCCAATCTTTAAAAAGGCAGCTGGTCAGACGTGAGCAAATATGGTTTGGGCAGCACACTGTGGAAAGGGACAGTTTTAACTTGTTTTCCCTGTACTCTTGTTTCCCCTCACCGAATCTGCCGCTTTCCTCCCCCAGCTTTAGAACACAGGACTAGGACCTGAGTGATGGGGGATTAAATCCCCACGCGTCCATGAATCTCACTGGGTGATTGACCTTTGGCAACTCCTCCCCTCTTCAATGTGATTTACCTCAAAGGGTTGCTGTTGGGACAAGATGGGAGACGATTACAGGGGTCATTTCCTGCAGGAGCGCACAGGAGCGGAGCTCCGGTAGTAAAGAGCCCAGGGGGCGGGCACATGCAACAAGCCCCACCCCCTGCTCCCAGCAACCCTGTCAGAGCAAGAAGCAGCCAGGTAAATTGTAGAGCCCCCCCCCCAGCCCAAAACAGTCCAGTGGCACCTTTAAGACCAAGCTTTATTTAGGTACAAGCTCACCCTTTTTTTTTTTCAAGAGGGAATTAGATAAGCATATGGAGCAGAGGTCCATCAGTGGCTATTAGCCACAAGGTATAGATAGGTGCTCTGGGGCAAGTGATGCTCTGTCATCTTGGTGCTTGGGGGGGGTCAACAGTGGGAGGGCTTCTAATGTCCTGGCCCCACTGGTGGACCTCCTGATGGCACTGGTATTTCTGGCCACTGTGGGATACAGAGTGTTGGACTGGATGGGCCTTTGGCCTGATCCAACATTGGCATCTCTTATAATCTTATGTTCTTAATGCAATAAAACAGGACTACAGAATTGGAGCAGTGTTCTTCTCTGGCCTGAAACTGAACTTCATTCTGCCGCCTCCTCCTGTATGTGTGACCTAGGACTGAAAGAAGGGCACTCTATGCATGATCAAATGGCACCTGTCTTTCATCACGGCTTCATTTGTTCCAGGCCTGAGCTCTAGCATAGCAAAGAAGTTTTGAGTCTGAGCCCTATTTTGGTTGAGTCTAGTGTGGTGGTTACATGCACAGACTCTAACCTGGGAGAACCAGGTTTGATTCCCCACTCCTCCACATGCAGCTGCTGGTGTGACCTTGGGTCAGCCACATGTTCTCTCAGAACTGTTCTCTCAAGAGTGTCAACATACAGGTGTTCTGTAAGTCTGGCTGTAGAGCAGGTCAATCTCTTTGACAGGAGCTGACAGCTCAGGGTGGCAGCAGAGCTGGCTCCAACCGGTTCTGTCCAGAGCAGAGCCAATTAACAGTGTCACTATGACTCAGCACTGGGTTCTGATTGGACAATGGTTGTATAAATAGGATGATGTACGGCGTACTTCTCTTCCTGATGGAAACCTGGCGTCTGCGTAAGCATTTTGTCGCTCTGTGTAATATATTGGTGGAGGCTTGTGTAAATAAATGTATATAGCTTTACACTAAGCCAGTTGGACTTACGTCTTCTGTGATACTCACACTCACCCGCAACCTGCAGTGGGCTGGCACCACGCAAACCTTGACAAAGAGCAGTTCTCGAAAGAGCTCTCTCAGCCCCACCTACCTCACAGGGTGCCTGTTGTGGAGAAGGGAAAGGAAATTGTAAGCAGCTCTGAGACTCTGAGTGAAGGGCGGGGTATAAATCCAATCTCTTTTCCTTCTTCTTGAGTTTCATCTGCATTGAGAACCAGCCATTGCAAAATCTTTTAGGATCTAGCAAAAAGAACAGCAGCCTATGACATAACTTGTTTCTTGGCTCCTTGGGAAACTAATACTCTCCCGTACGTTGCAAAGGTGTCTATATCAGCAAGAAGATTAACAGATTTTCTGAGCCTCGGAAATGTGGCAATTCC